AGCACCAGGAGGAGGAGAACGAGGACCACCAGGAGGAGGAGGAGGGGGAGGAGGAGGAGGAGGAGGAGGAGGAGGAGGAGAGAGCACCAGGAGGAGGAGGACGAGCAAGACGAGGACGACGAGAACGAGGACGAGCAAGAGGAAGAGGAGGAGGAGGAGGAGGAGGAGGAGGAGCAGGAGATAGAGGAGGAGGAGGAGGAGGAGGAGGAGCAGGAGAAAGAAGACGAGCAGGAGGAGGACGAGGACGAGCAGGAGGAGGAGGAGGAGGACGAACAGGAGGGGAGGGCGGCCGGCTGCCCCGAGTCGTGCGCACAAGGGCTCTGAGGAAGGCTCCCAAAGCTCGAGACGCTTTGAATACTTTGTAGTTTCCTCGTAGCTTCCTTTCCATGCCTTTGTAGCTTCCACGCACTCCTGCGTCGCCAAGTTTCTTCTTGCAGCGTCCTTGTCGTGTCGCGGGGTGCGTTTGCGTCACTTCGGTGTTGCTGCGCCTTGAGACGTGTCTCTGCGCTCCCTAAGCTCGAGACGCTTTGAATACTTTGTAGTTTCCTCGTAGCTTCCTTTCCATGCCTTTGTAGCTTCCACGCGCTCCTGCGTCGCCGAGTTTCTTCTTGCAGCGTCCTTGTCGTGTCGCGGGGTGCGTTTGCGTCACTTCGGTGTTGCTGCGCCTTGAGACGTGTCTCTGCTGCTTCTTCGACCCATCGGGGAGTCCAGCGTCACCGAATTTGTTCCAGTATTGTGCTTGTCGTTCCAGGTCGTGCGTACGCGCGCAGAATGTTTCTCTGCAGCGTCCTCGTCGCATCAGGATGTCCAGCGTCGCATAATGCATCCTTGTAGCGCCTCTTCTTCCAGGGCGACGTGGTCCTGAGTCGCCGCGGACGACTCGCCGCGGACGGTTCCATTCGATTCCACGGGCGATCGTGCGCATGTAGTTTGCCACGCGCCTGCGCGCGCGGAGAGGGCCTGGGCGCCTTGTCGCCTGCGGGCGACCGCGCGGGTTAGTCCCCGCAAAAGCCAAAGAGGGCATTTCCACACGCCGGGGAAAGCCTAAAAGGGCTTTCGTCTGCCTGATCCCCCCCCCTCTTTCCTTCTCTTCTTTCATCGAAGTCAGAACCCCCGCCCCCTATGACGTCCTCCGCTGGCCTGGGTGGTATACTCAGGTCGCGGAGGGGGATAGGGGGGGGGTCGTTGCCACGGCTGGTGCCTCGATTTCACGACGGGGAGGGGGGGGTGCACCGTTCCCTCGGATGGGCACATCCCCCCCTCCAAGGGCCTCCGAGCCCTCCCTCTCCGTCCTTTTCTTTTCCCTTATCCTTCCCTCCCTCGCGGTTTTCGAAGCCTTTGGCGTCTCCGCCCACCACAGCGGGGATCTCGACCCCCCAATGGGATTCGTGGAGCGGGGGGGGCCTTGAGAAGCGAAACATTTCTTGGGGCGGGGCCACACAGCACACACATCACATCCATCGAGTCACGCACACATACAGCAACACGCTTTCTCGTCTCCACAGGGGGGGTGCTTCGTGGAGGCATCACTTGTAACTTTGCAATTCTGTAATCATTGCCGTTCTGGTTCAAAGAACTTGGATTGCAGGAGTTCGAGGCAAAAGCGCGCCTTGTCCGCATCCGCTCACCCAGTCTCACCGTGCCGTGCACGGTGCTTCTCAGCCTGTGTCACTGTGCGCTCCACGGTGATCCTCCGGGTGAGCTACCATGGCTGCTGCTGCAGAACAGCCGACGTCTCCACTGGGTTTTCTCACGAAGAGCAGCGCCAAAACCAAAGACTTCCTTGTCCGAGTATACAAGCCCAGGGAGATCAAGTACTCGTACAAGAGCAGGAACAATGGCCAGCTAGTCCATGCAAACCGATTCACATGCATTCTGCTTGGCACAGACTCAGAGCACTATTGTGAGGCCATCCTCAAAGGAACTCCAGCAGAAGTCCAAGCTGCTCTGAAAAAATTCCCTCCGATGACGGCGTGGAAACTCTCCAGCGTCGGCCTGGACAGTCGGCAGCAGGACGCTTTTGTGCATGCGTCTGTTCGTGTCGTGGTCGACCTCAAGCGCACAACCTGCAGTCCAGTGCTCAAAAGCTCTCCGGAGGAGACCTCCTTGGCATCGGCGCCGGCTCCAGCGACTACAGTGGCAGACATGATGAACATCAAATCGCAGCGTTGCTTCGATGTCATGGCTGTGGTTCATTCTGTTTCAGAAACCCGCACTCCTGCTGGCCACCCTCCAGTGGCAAGTGTACATCTGGTCGACGGCACACAGACGAGTAACTCCAAGACAGCGGAGGCTGTGATTGCAGTCTGGGGATCCACCAACATAGAGCTTTGTCGCTCTCACAAAGGATAACCGCTGCTGTTTCTCAACGTGGCGGGCAAATTCGACGGCAAACTGGAGCTGAACTTGTCGCAAGATCGCGTGGTGGATTCCGCATGCTCTTGTCCCAGAATGACTCAACTACACGACTTAGCAGCCGCTCAAGACTTCGCGATGGACCGGGAGCAGCTGACCACCGCTCATGCGGGTACTTTGGATCCAGACCAGGCTTCGCAGATTCTCACCGGAGAAGCACTCCTCT